TATGCAATACAGATGTGTTGATGGTCGATCCTGCCAACTGTTATCAAGATTCTTGTATGCACTCTCGATTGATGGACGTCTGTCAAAAATCAAACATAAGTTAGGTTGGAGAAACACGTGTAATTGGAGAAACATAAGTTAGGTTGTAAGAGATTTCGTGCATGCCTTACACAAGCATCTTGTAAGAGAATCCTTACATCGTGTAAGAGATTCCTTGCACAATTGATTCTTCATTTACTTTTACAACCATGTGCCATATGGGATGGCGTGTGTGTACAAATTTCACACTCATGCGCCATATAGTATGATGTCAAAGAAAAGAATTCCATGCAAAACCTAGAATTCACGTGAAGAGAAGAATTCCACTGTAAATATGGTCTTAAAAAAAACTCTTCTCATCACAACCTTTCAACTTCCAGCAAGCAACAAGCTTTTCTCATCACAACCTACATTCATTCCAAGCCACAAAGATGTCTTTACTCACTATGGGCAACGAACACAGAGGAACTGTTGAGAATATTGCAGAATTTGTAAGTGTTTTGCTTTATTTGTTTTGTCTCCCCTTACTTAGTTATTTTTTCTTTATAACTAAGGTTATTTATATTCTTTTTCAGGATATAACAAGATTTCATTGCCGTGTACACGACTATATACCACATGACTCATTCATACAAGGATATCTTGAATCACGTGACTTCAATGATTTGATAACAATCACTTCGTACTCAATTGACCCCAAATTTATTCTAGTTTTGCTAGAACGATGGAGACCAGAGACCCACACATTTCACCTTTCTTTCGGTGAATGCACCATCACATTCGAAGATATCTACATGTTACTGGGCCTACATATCAATGGTAAGGCCGTTAACAGCAACATTGGTGTTGATAACCAAATTTGCGAAGATTTGTTGGGTGCCCCTCTTTGTGTCAATACACCTCGGCCACAACGTGCAGGTCAACCAAGGGGTCAAGGTATAAATTTAAAATACCTTAGAGAACATTATAAAAGTATCATATTAAACGACAAATCCACAGAGTATGACAAGATAATTAAAATCGGTGTTATATTATGATCTTATTTGGACATTTTTTATTTCCAGAAAGTATTGGAAATACTGTAAATATTATGTATTTGCCGTTGTTACACGACATTAATAAAGTATGCACTTATAGTTATGGTTCAGCTGTTCTGGCCCATCTATATGTTCCTTGTGTAAAAATTCAAAAAAAGAAATACTTGTACGTTTTATGGCTGCGCCTTTCTACTTCAAGCATGAGATTGGACTAAAATGCCGACACTAGCTCCGGTCAATCCGCATCCATACACATTCCCATACGCAAACAAGTAAGTTTATTTTAAAATATCAAACATGTATACTTTGATGAAATGTTTATTTGTAACTAATTTATTTATCTCACTTTTTTTAGGTGGTCAATTCTGGGAATGGCTTACCAACGATGTCCCAGAAACTCAATAATCGTGTACCGCAATCTTTTAGAACATATTAGACCGAACGATGTAAATTATTCTTACGCTACTATAAATTTGGCTATTAAATTAACACACTGCAATTTTTTTCATTAAATATTTTGATTATGCAGTTTGTCTGGAGGCCGTATGTGGGTCTCGACCATCAGGCTAACGCCGATGATGTTGTAGTGTAGACAACAAAAACACCGATCATTCGGTTCACTACAGTGGAGATGCACCAAAGTGATCCGGTGAAACTGCAGTTCGACATGCATTAAGATATTCCAGTTGCTCCGACATCTTTTGGGAGACTCATCAATTGAGAGTCGATGCACAATGGGGGTCTGGATGATTGTAGAGAATTTGATAAAGAGATGTGTCGACATTGGAAGAGTCGACGTCGCCACATCTTAGAGGAGCCTGTTGTGGAAGGGGTTAGACCAAGTCATCAATATATAATTTGGTTTAGGTCGATTATAACACAACAATTTGTTTCTGAGCCGACATATTTGATAGATCCGCGCCAACGTGTTTCGTCCTCATACACACAACAACAAACACCTGCTCAACTACCAACACCGCACCACACCCAACAATAATATCTACCCACCGAATCAATCTTTCAGACCCGCAACCCATTCATGTCACCCACCCAATCACAACAACAAGAGTCTGACCCTTACCGCAAACATCCACACACTGATACCACATCTTCCTATAGCCTTAATGACAATTTCGACTCCACCCCAGTCCACCATAGCCCCCCATAAATAAACACACAATTGTCCTACCATCAAAACACCCAACCACTATTTGACTACCTTACCCCACAACAACCATTGCATAGTTTCCAAAACGATTCAATGTACCAATTCGGTCAACCATACCGTCCGCACCTAACCCAACCCCCTCCCTCCCAACTTCGAAAACATGAGCATGGAACTGAATTACAGAAGCGCCGTTGGCAGCAACCCCCAACTATTGGGGACAAATGATTCAAAATTTGTCAAATACGTCGGGACCCTCTCAACAAATACCTTTTCCGCAGGGTAATACACAAAGACCACAAACACCTCAACAAAATCGTAGTAGACCTCGGAGGCACATATGGCTGGCAATGAACCGAACCAACTCGAAAATAGTTCGGAATTCGATTCAACAATAAAATCGTTGAACTAGGTTCATGAACCAAATGAGTTGAGTATGAGCGAAAAATTAAGTTCGTTAACTAAATGAGCTGAACTTGAACTATACATAGTTCGACTCGTTAGGTTCATGAGTCAACTCGATTACATATGAGAAGAATTATACTGTCTTTAAGATTAGGTTTAAATATTTACTCCAAATCTTAGACAAATTTAATCTTCAATTTAGTAGTTTTTGAATTAGACTCTCAAATGTATCTCTTGAAAGTTGTGTAGGTTTTGAATTAGTAGATTTCGAAGATAAAGTTAAATTTCTATATGATAACTTTTATTTTATTTTAATATTTTATTTTAAAAAAAAATATATATTTAAAATGTCAAATATACTAAAAAATATATAAATTTTAAAAAATAGTTTTTAAGTCCGTGAATCATGTGAGCTGAACCTAATGAGATGAACCTAACGAGTTGAACCGAACTGTTCGTGAACTTATAACGAGTCGAGTTTGAGCTTAAAAAAAGTTCGTGTCGAACTCGAACTCAAACTCGAACAATATTTAACGAGTCGAGCCGAGCTGAGGTGAGTTCGACTCGACTCGACTCATTTCCAGTCCAGGCACGCTAATGCACCAGAATGTGGAACCAGATGACGGGGCGGTCATTAATTTTTTTTGTTTGTAAAATTTAATGTATTTTTATAATATTTATAATTATTTCTTATTTTTTATGTTATCTTTTTCTCATTTATTTAACTTTCCTATTAAAACAAATAAAAAAATTAAAGGCAGGATGCATCATATGAGATGACGCATGAATCCAAAATTTAGGGTAAAGGTTTAGAAAAGGTGTAGGCGCCATTTGATTTGGCTACACCTTTATATATGTTCTAAATCAAATGACGTATGAATTTTAAATTAAAAAATATGCTCCAAATAATATCGACTGCATTCTTCTCCATTTTAAAAATACGTCACTTTAATAATTAATTTAAAAATATATTATTTTAGTATTTAAATACGTCACTTTGGAATTTGAATGCTCAGTATGTTGGTGATAGAACCTTTTCAGATCATTGCCCAATTTTTCTTAAGTCAATTGATCTGAACTGGGGTCCCAAGCCCTTCAAATTCTTTAGCTCTTGGTTAAAACATGAAGACTTCTTGCCTTTTTTTGAAAAATCTTGGAAATCGTATCGGGTCAAAGGAAAGAGTATGTTCATCTTCAAGGAAAAACTGAAGTTACTGAAAACAGATCTGAAAATCTGGAACAAACTGATTTTCGGATTCCTAGATTTGAGAGTTTCAGATGCAGTGAAAGAGATAAATGATCAGGACTTGGTGATAGAGGTTGATGACTATCAAATTGATTCGCAGACGGAAAGTCGAAGGAGTGAAGCTCTTCATTTTTACTGGGAATCTCTTATTAGACGAGAAAAGTTTCTTAGGACTAAATCAAAATGCCGATGGCTCAAAGAAGGAGACCGTAATTCCAAATACTTCCACTCTTTGTTAAATTACAGATATCGCAGACAAGGAATTACAACAATTAAAGAGGGGAATGAATTGTTTGAAGATGTGAAAGGGATTAAAGAGTTAGTTTTCAACCATTTCAAAGCTTTTTTCAAAGAACCAAATCAGCACAGACCATTACTGGAGGGAGTAAATTTCAAATCTCTATCTCAATCTGATAAAGTCTTTCTTGAGGAGCCTTTTTCAATTGATGACATTAGATCTGTTATTTGGGAGGCAGCCACGGATAAAAGCCCGGGTCCGGACGGTTTCACGATGGAATTTTTCAAGGCAACGTGGGAAATTATAAAAGATGATTTATTTGCTTGCATTAATGAATTCTTCTCTGTAGGTTTTCTTCCAAAGGCGTTTAAGGCTGCTTTCTTGGCATTGATTCCGAAAAACTCAAATCCTCAAGGGCTTAGAGAGTATAGGCTAATTTTCTTAATTGGCAGTGTTTATAAATTAATTTCGAAGCTTATGGCAGGGAGATTGGCTAGAGTCATTGATGGTCTTATCTCTTTAAACCAATCGGCATTCATAGCAAAGAGATCAATGATGGATGGAGTGCTTATCATAAATGAATTAACAGACTTCGCGGCTAGGCACAAGAAGAAACTTTTCGCTTTCAAGGTAGACTTCGAAAAAGCTTTTGATTCGGTATCTTGGGAATATTTATTTTTTGTCCTTAGGAAGATGAATTTCGGCTCAACTTGGATTAAGTGGTTACGAGGCTGCATTTGTTCGGGTACCTTATCGATCTTGGTAAACGACAGTCCAACGCAAGAATTCGAAATGGAAAGAGGTCTTTGACAGGGTGATCCGCTTTCACCTCTATTGTTTATCATTGCAGCAGAAGGCTTTGCGGGTCTGATGCAGAATTCTATTGCAGCCGCAAATTTTCACCCTTTCGTCCTTTCTGAAGAGCTCCAGTTTAGTTTAACTCAATTTGCAGACGATACGGTAATCTTGGGGGATTCTAACAGAGAAAATATTTTGGCTGTTAAAGTGATGCTTAGGGGTTTTGAGCTGGTGTCCGGGCTGAAGGTGAATTTTTCAAAAAGCAAGGTAATTGGTGTCAATTTGGATGATGGATTCCTTGAGGTTGCATCAAACTTCCTCTCTTGTGCTACGACCAGCTTGCCGTTTAACTTCTTGGGAATTCCCATAGGAGCGAACCCGAGAAGGAAAATCACATGGGAGCCGTTGGTGACAAAGATTAGAAACAAGCTTTCTTTGTGGAGAGGGAAGCACATCTCATTCGGCGGTAGATTAACTTTGATCAATTCAGTCCTAAATTCAATACCGGTTTTCCTCTTTTCTTTCTACCGTGCGCCTAAATTAGTCTTGCAAGAGATCATCAACATTCAAAGAGCTTTTTTATGGAAAGGGGAGGAACAAAAACGTAGAATCAATTGGGTTGCATGGACGGATATTTGTAAATCAAAAGCAGATGGTGGGTTAGGAATCAAAGACTGTGAAGCTTTCAATATTGCTCTTCTATCTAAATGGGCTTGGAAATTCTGTTCAAATTCTTCGGATATGGGAGCATCGATTCTTACTTTCCGTTATGGCGATATTAAGAGGATTCTTCTTGAACCATCGAGATTCTCTACCTATTTTCCGAAAGCTTCTATTTGGTGGAGGGATATGAAGGAGATCGTCGATAAATTTGGAGAAGAGGAGAGTTGGTTTGGCAAAAGGGTGTCTTACAAAGTTGGGAACGACATGCTTATAGATTTTTGGCATTATCTCTGGCTCGGTTCTCAACCTCTAAAACTCATGTTTCCATCTCTGTATGAATCTGCCTTAAACAAATCTGCTAGTGTATTTTCTTCTGGATTTTGGATTGACGGTCTCTGGCATTGGAACGATAGTTTTGACACTGATTCTCTGCCGACTCTAGCTGTTCAAGAGCTTCAAGAATTACGACTGATCTTATCTGGAACGCAGCCTCACCAACAAGGCCGGGATTCTTTCATTTGGTGGCGGCATCCGCAAGGTTTTTCGGTTAAAAATGCTTATTTAAGGTTGTTTTCCCTGAAAGGAGAAAGGTCAGCAATGAATCCCTCAACTTCTAGTCTATTGATAAAAATTTGGAATGCATCTATACCTTCTAGCATAAATTTTTCCGGATGGAGAGCTGTTCTAGACCGCCTTCCAACGCGATATCAGCTGTGGAAAAGAGACATGGTTAACTCTACTGGATTACTTTGCCCTCTTTGTCGGGAAGAAGAAGAAACTGTGTGTCACTTATTCATTCTCTGTCGGATCTCCGTTCATGTTTGGTCTCTGGTTTTTGCTTGGTTGGGAACTCAACCTCCTGATATGAACTCTATTTTGGACAACATGGAAATTTTAAACTCTGCTCTATCAGGATCTGTGGAGAAAATTTTTCGGTGTAGAATTTAGTTTGCGGTCCTTTGGTCTATTTGGAGGATTCGAAACAACATTATTTTTAGAGGTGATTTGTTAAATTTCAAATCTTTATTGTATCATATTCAATCTCTCCTTCAGGATTGGAGAGAACTTGGATAGTTTTCTGTCTTCTGTTTGAGATTCTGTTTTCTTTCCCTCTTTGTTCTCCTTTGTATTGGGTTGGACACCCCTAGTGTCCTTTTCAATATAATATTTGTTTATCAAAAAAAATAAAAAAAAGAAATAGGGTATTTAAAAAAAAATTCTATAATTATAGCAATCCTCGTACAAATATTATAGCTTATAGAAATAAAAATATACAACTTTTATAATCATAAAAACATGTTTAGTTAATCAACGAAGGAGGAACGAGTTTCCTATCTTAGAACTAGATTCTCTCTTCCACCGCACCACTACCCTCACTACTTCCCACACCTTCTTTCTTCCTCCTCCATCTTTAATCTAATGTGGAGTAACAAATCAAGAACAATGCATCATCAGCAGCATCCACTATGCACACGCACGCACCAGATCGGCTCCTTGCTCCTAGTTGCCGCCACCTTCTTCCTCACCAGACTCTTGGACGCTCCTTGCAACCTCTCCTCCACCGTGTCGCAACAGAAATTCCTCGGCCTCCACAGGTTTCCGGAATCGCAAGAACTTTCACTCAAGATCTATGTCTACGATGCTAATGAAATCGATGGATTGAAGGAACTTTTGCAAGGAAGAGACGGTAAGATCACACCGGAAGCTTGCTTGAAAGGACAGTGGGGTAGTCAGGTAATTTCACCCGCACCAAACCTCCATAAACATAGAACACTAGACGCATAGACATCGGTTATAATTTGAGAAAATGAAACTGATTGAATATAACTGCATTTGTCGTTTGTGAATCAGTGTCGGTGTTGGACACTGACATTTGTGATTACTTTTAATTAATTAATTTTTTCAAGTTATCACCGGTTTCAATGTGTCTGTCGTTTTTTTGTGTCACTGCTTCATAGATTGAATATAATTGCGAATGTGTCATGTTAATTTCAATATTTTGCAAATGCTATATAGGTTGCAACCATTGTTAATGGGAAAATCGCTGTCAAATTTAGTTGATCTGATGGATGTAGCCTGAATTGTGATTGCAGTTGTGGAGATATAGGTTGATGTTGGATGATTTTTGAAATTTTGCTAATTAGTACTTTTGTAGGTGAAAATACACAAGTTACTATTAGAATCAAGATACAGGACAAGAAAGAAGGAGGAAGCGGATTTGTTTTTTGTTCCATCGTATGTGAAATGTGCGCGTATGATGGGTGGACTTAACGACAAAGAAATTAATCAAACTTATGTTAAAGTAAGAAGTTTTTTCGTTTCTCCTATTGGAATTGGATTGATATTGATTATGTTTTAAATGAATCTTAGGAATTACTTAGCTGGAATTCTCTGTCTGTGATGATATTAGGTTATTAGCCAAATGCCGTATTTTCGGTTATCTGGAGGCAGGAATCATATATTTGTTTTCCCGAGGTAATAATGCTGGTGATGATTTTATTTTTGTATTGTGAATAGCTTGTGGCAATAGTGTTTAATAGGTTAATATGTATATGAATGTTCGTGTTATTTTTTTGGTAAGTTACCTATTAGCTAATATAATTGCTTTGTTTTCAGTGGAGCTGGAGCTCACTTGTTCAAGTCTTGGGCAACATATATAAATCACTCCATTATTCTTACCCCTGAGGTGAACTTTTACTTTTCCTCGTAATGTTATAGGTTTATCAAAGGTGGCTTGACGAAAAACATGGCAAAGTGGCTAGTTAGGCTGTGTAATCATAGTTGTGGATATCAGAAATCTAGGTGTTGTGGTTGCAGTTTTTGTTTTAGACCACAATTTAAATTGTTAGTTTTGTATGTTTACTAGAAACACTGAAATAGAAATTGTAAACCAAGCAATAATGCCTTTAATAATTTAGGAGATGGAATTATGTAAAGTTTGAAAGAAGCTGAAGTAAAAGTACTGGATGTAATGCATATGAAACAGCACAGATATAAGTTATAGCAATGAGGCAATACTTTAAAATACCTTAACCTTCATTTCACAATGTTGGTTTTCATTTAGATTTGCCGTTTTTTTTATTGCACTAGACGAAAAAGTTAGATGATTCCATGAACTCTGCACTCCTTGAATTTAAATAATATAACATTCATCTGTCCTGACCTTGGAATCGAGTTGGAAGGCCGTGTTAGTTGTTACAGTAGGCATTGGTATTTAGTTACGAGAGGGCCTTGCAAAGAAAGCTGATGGAATAGCCCGGTTGTCAATAGCAGTATGTAGCGCCACTATAGCGGTGGAGCGGATCAAAGGGTGTCCGCCCCCATATGCCTTCTAGTGCCGTAGATGGGTTTAATACCAGGGCAGAGAAACTAGAGGGAGTTAGATGATTGGTAAGTTAGTTTTTAGTGGTAGACTAGCTAGGTTCTTTGATTCCTAGGGAGGACACTGCTTCTTATTCTTGCTCTTCATAATCATGAATTCCCTGTTGTTTCGTTTGGAGGATGATAGACAAAAAAATTTCTTTATATTTCTTTCTAATTCATCACTATATTCTGGGCTACATGATCACCAGTATTAGAGCTCCCCAAATACCCGAAGCTGTTTGTGTTCTGCTCAAGAAAGAAGGAAGTGCCTTAAGAATTATTGAGTGTGCTAGCTAGCTTAAGTTGTGTTCAAGGAGGAGCATACGGAGGTTCTTGTATTTGAAGGAGATCTTAGGGAAGAATCATGGCAGGTTACAGTTATCCAATTCTCATCATATAGATTATTTGCTGTTTGAGTGAACTACTACCCCAAGGTGGCAACTAGCTCACATACCTTTTCTTAGGAATTAAATAGTGAAAAAGGGTCAACAGGTAGGGAGCTGATCTTTCTATGGTTTTCGGAATGGAGAAGGGGCCCAAAAGGATGGAACATCATCCACCACATTTATGGATATGCAAAATATGAACTTGTTGTATTGGATGCTGGTCTATTTCCCAGCACAAGAGTTCATAAATATAAGATGTGGAATGATGTGACTGTTCAGGCCCAGTGCTGTTGCTGGACTGAAAAATGAATGCAGGGTATTATTTCAGAGAATAGTCCCTGAAGTATTCACTTTGATGTACAGGAGTCGTCAGGGGAAGACTTGTTATTCAACCAGGGAGGGTTTTTGCTTGGTAGAATTAAATTCTGCTCCATCATAATCAAGCAATTTAAGACAATGGTTGAGATATTGAATGCAGAAATGGATGAATTCTTTAGCCAAATTGTGATGCAAAAGGATGGACAGCAACATCAAGCTAAAAATAAATCAACTACTCAGCAAATTAATACAATTCAAGCATAGAATTGTGTTTACACTTCCAACAACAGGACCCAGGTGGGAGTTTTATGGCCATGCCATTTTTGGATTTTTGTGCAAAACCTATAGGCAACAAAGCTATGCTGATCATCTGGCTAGAGCTTCTAGATTGAACTGTAAGGGACATGACCTAATTAGCAATGCTTACATCAAATGGGTAAGGACTCACGTGGGTGAGGCCCTATAAGTTAGAATTGTTAGCGAGTTAAGAGCAGGCTATATTTGGAAAGCTATTAGGACGGGAAATTAGTTAGGTTGGTACAAGTAGAGGCAGAAGAACTAGAGGTCTGTAGGTTAATTAGTTAGCTTAAAATGGGAGAGAGAGTAGGCTCTTTAATTCTTGGGCAAAATGCCAATGTGTCTCGTTCTTTCTCTTTTCACCCTCTGAATACCCATTGATCAGGAGATGGAGAAGTACATACGACAAAATTTCCTTATTCTTTTTCTCATTCTAAGCTGATCTCTATATTCTGAACAAACTGATCTACCAGTGTAGTACTAGGTTGTTTTATCAATGGGCCAACAGTTGATTTTGGTCTCCTAGGTGGCCAGATGCGTCTTTAGAAGTGACTCAGAATTCTCTCTTACTTGCTGTAGCATTTCATAAAAACACAGTCCTCTGTACTTGTGGAGGCTATTAGTGTTTGATAATAGAGAAACTGGAAGGACTTTAAACTGTTTCTTAGTATGAGTTATTAGAGAATCCACGTATATAATACAAGATTCGTATAGACTCTGACTGAAGCCTAAGCTGTAACTTACTCCTAATAGCTTTTAACAGAACAGATGCTACAACCAAGACTGTATAAGCTCTATCGATCTACAGAAACTAAACACTAGTTCGTATACATATAAAACTTCTAGAGTCGTTGCTTAAAAACTGATGCTCCTTTTAAGTGAAAAATCTATATGCAGAATGAAAAACCCATCCAGAAATCAACATAGCCTGCAATTTACGAAAATGCTGATGTTGAATACCATAATGTTGCTATAACTGTTCTGGTGAATTATATAATCTTGATATTCCAAAACCTATATTCTTGGCTAAAATCTATATTATTCTTGGCTAAAATCTAAGTTATTCTTTTAGTCCCTATCTTTATTTTAAGTTTCAATTTGGTCTCTCTTTTTTTTCTTTTCTAAAATGGTCCGTTTTTTTGCAAAGGTGTGCCTATGTGGTCCTTTCCATTTAAATTGTGGTATGATGAGGTCCGCTTCAGTATAAGTATAACGCTTACTAAATAAGGAGCTGTTTTGCAGCTGAAAAAAAATCATATTGGTGTATAACACTGTTTCTCACTTACTAAATAAGGAGCTGTTTTTCATATTGGTATAAGTATAACACTTACTAAATAAGGAGCTGTTTTTCACTTAAATAAGAGGCCATATTGGTATAACTTTGAAAAAGAAGACAATGTTTCTGAGCAAAAATAAAAGAGAGAACAGATTGAAACCTAAAATGAAGATAAGGGATCAAAATTCCAGAGTACAACTCAACGTTAATTGTTTTATTCCTCCAAACTGTCCATATTTTTTAGTTGAAAAATCTCTATTCTTGTAGTTTAAAGATATTGGAGCTTGTGTCATTCAAGAACATAATGG